ATGAATTTTATGAGCTAAAACAAATATCAACAGTTAATAAAAAAAAAAAATATTCTTCATGACACTATCTGTCAATCAAAGTACCCCACCTTGCCTCCCCCCCCCTCTTCCAACCGCGCCAGATGGTCAGTCGGTCGGTCCCCCCCTTCCCCCCACCAACCCTCCCTACCAGAGAAATGTTTGGGAGAAACCAGAATATTTACCTATTTAGTAATAAATAATACCTCAGACTACAGTTAGGATAATATAATTGACATTGCTGGATTCCTTGTAAGACCAGGAATATTTTGAATATAAATGTCATATATTTTGCACAAAAGATAACATTTACTCAGAGTAAATAAAATACTTAAAGTAGATCTAAAATTTATATGTCTAATGCAAAATCTATAATGTTTATATTCAAAATGATCATCAAATTGTAAGAATTCCAACAATGTAAATTATATTCTGGCCCGGTAATTTGTATGAATTTTATGAGCTAAAACAAATAACTTCAATAAATAAACAAAATATACTTACCGAAATACTATCTGTCAATCAAAATACCCCACCTCCCCCCCTCTTCCCACCTGCTACCTGGGTCCCTCCCTCACCCCCACCTTCCCTCCCTACCAGAGAAATGATTGGGTTATAACAGTATATTTACATTTTTAGTAATAAATAATACCTCAGACTAAAGTTAGGATAATATAATTGACATTGCTGGATTCCTTGCAAGACCAGGAATATTTTGAATATACACGTCATATATTTTGCACAAAAGATAACATATTTGCTCTGAGTAAACAAAATACTTGCATTAGATCTAAAATTTGTATGTCTAATGCAAAATCTATGATGCTTATATTCAAAATGATCATCAAATTGTAAGAATTCCAGCAATGTAAATTATATTCTGGCCGGATAATTTGTATGAATTTTATGAGCTAAATAAAAAAATTATACTTCACCCGCGTATATGAGTAGATGCACCGCGTAAAGTGGGAATTCCGGTTCTGGCAGGGTACCGCGTAAATGTAGAAACGCGTAAAGTGAAACCGCGTAAAGCGAGGGTTCACTGTACCCGGTATTTAAGACGATCCCTAATTTTGGGCTGATATTTTTAAGGTTCAAATTCCGTCTTATAGGCCGAGATATACGGTATACTGTATGTGCTGTCACTAGGTTTCAAGCCAGGCTAGACATGAGTGATGAGACAGATGATCCTCCACAACTATCTACTACCGCACAGAATGGTTCTGGGGACCTTGGTGGTAACGCTGCACTGGCAGGTAGTACCTCAGAACCAGGATGGTGATTTACTCACTCAACTCATGACCCCTGAAAAACTGATTGAAGCACAAAAGACTGACCCAACATTGGCTAAAATTCATAACAAAGCTGTTGATGAGAAGGAGATAGAGAAAACTCCTTCTTTCTACTACAAGGACGGTATTCTGGTTAGGTTCTATAGACCAACTAATCTGTCGATTGACGACACTTGGGCTGAGACCCATCAGGTAATATTGCCAATGTCAGTTAGGAAGACTGTGATGGAGGTCGCTCATGAAGGGTTTGGTGGACACCTCGGCAATAATAAAACCTACCGCAAATTTTGCAGGATTATTATTGGCCTGGATTGAAAAGGGGTGTATCAAAATTATAAACTGTTGCCACATTTGCCAAATAACAGGAAAGCCTTGTCAGCCAATTCCCCTTATCCTTTACAACCCATTCCGGTTCCCTCGGAACCTTTTCGAAAAATAATAATTGACTGTGTGGGCCCATTGCCAAAAACTAAGAAAGGCAACCAATATATCTTAACAATCATGTGTCCCACTACCAGGTGTCCAGAGGCTTTCCTGTTAAAAAATATCTTTGCTAAAACTATTATTCAACATTTAGTGCACATGTTTACCACTTTTGGCATTCCTCAGGAAATACAGTGATAGAGGTACCAGCTTCACCAGCGACCTCTTCAAAAAGGTACTCAAAGAGATAGGCATTAGGCAGACCCTGTCCACCGCTTATCACCCGGAGTCACAGGGAGCCCTTGAGCGGCATCAGACAGTAAAGTCCATGTTCTGCAAGTTTTTTGTGAACACCAGGAATGCTAAGATGAAGGTTTGGATTATGTCTTGTTTGCTATAAGAGAAGCCCCTCAAGATTCTCTTGGCTACTCACCTTTTGAGATGCTGTTTGGTAGGAAGGTTAGGGGGCCTTTAAAACTAGTCAAAGAAAGATGGCTTAACCCTACTTCTGACCATACTACCACCACGTCAGATTACCTTAAAAGACTTCAAACCACCTTGAGTAGAGTATGCCAACTCACAAAAGAGAACCTGTTAACATCTCAGACTAAGGTGCAACATCACTATGATAAACATGCCAAGAGTTCAGTGTTGGAGAAAAAGTCCTAGCCTATTTCCCTATTCCTGGCTCTTCCATGTAAGCGAAGTACCATAGCAGAAGAAAATTAATAAAGTTAACTATATAATTTCAACCCCAGAATGTAAGAAGGCCACCCAGCTTACCCACATAAATCTACTCAAACCTTCTCTAAGTAGAGGAGCCTGCCGAGGACTCCCCGAGATTACCCTGTAACATTATAAATCCTGTAGCTACTAAAGACCCAACAACTCCCTGGAGTGGTATGGTAAACTCAGAAATTATATACAACCTACCGTCGTACTTAAACATCTTACCATCTTAACAGAGTCGTTCGTTATCCGAAAATTTCATTAATCGAATCTATTATTTCAACGGGATATTGGGTAATTGGTTCCAACTCACAGAAAAGTACATACAAAGTACTATATACCAGTAATAGAATTAACAAAACATTAAATATAAACTAAATACAGTTCTGTACTGTACAGTATTCTGTACAATAATAAACAAAAAACAATAGAATACCATATTCTAACTTACTTTGAGGTGTGTATGTCGTATTACCGGTAGCTTTGTTTACATATCAAACAGCTGATTGTAGAGGCAGTCGATGATGATGCCATATTGTTTACAGAGGCATTGGTTCTAATGACTTCTTCATGTTTCATAATAATTTCAGCACTCTATATTATCAATATGTTAACTAAATTTCAGAATGACCAATAATTTTAATGTAAAAATGTAAAAATATTCAAGAGACCAACAAAATCGATGTTCACTCCACTGTAAACAAAGTTAAACTGAGAAGGGTTGTTGGGTGATTCAATCAGCTGATGGGCACACAAAAACTGTTCCCTGAACTGTCTATATTATCAATATGTTAAATAAATTTCAGAATGACCAATAATTTTAATATAAAAAATGCAGAAATATTCAAGAGACCAACTTTCTTGATATTTACTTCACTGGAAACGAATGTAAACATAGAACCAATTACTGTATTGGCGGACTAGCCGATCAGCTGATGCGCACAACAAAACGTGTTTGTCGTAAGGATTTCGTTAATCGAAGTTTTGTTCGTTTAATCAAACTGAAAATCATTATGGGAACTAATTCGTTAACCGAAATTTCATTATTGAACCGTTCGTTAACCGAGGGACCACTGTAGTTGTGTACTTTTTATCATTAGTTAGGTAGGTTTTGTTCTTGATTGTGAACCAATTTCATGCTTTAGGGATCAGATTTTGAAGTATTTTTGTCATTGGGGAACCAAAGCTTTTTTTCCCCATATGTTCTTTTATTTATGATACGTAAATTTACCTAATGAATGACGTTTTTGGTGCTTATTCATATCTTTAAGGATACCTGTATACAGTACAGGGGGGGGGGGGGTAAATTTATTTTAACAAACTTTTAGATAATATATTAAAGTTATTTTGGTAAAAATATGAGGTTTCTAACTTAATTAGAATCGATTGTATAGGCTCCAGTATAAACAGTTCTCATGTTTTTCATAAAACAATTGAGTCCCATAATTATATTGTCAATATATTTTGTTTAAGGACCTTTTATTGAAAGTCTTGTAGAGAATTTATTCAAAATCATTATGGGACCAAGATTATGGATATTTAGAGCAGATACTGTGAATAAAAGTATATTCACTTTTTCGCTAGCTGTAAAGATTTTTGTATGACACTACGGCCTAAATGTAATGGGAAAGGGAATGAGATATGTACAGTAGCTAAAACAAGTATCTGTGCATACTTTGTGGGAACAATATGAGACCATGGAAGATAAAGTTTGAGGGCTGTCACTAGTCACACGTAAAATTTCGGAGCATATCAACCCCCACCTGCACAGATACAGTAATATCTCCATTAGCCGGAATGCCCCAAATCTGAAACTCTCCGACGGCCGGAATTGAAATTTTCACGGAAAATCATTCCCAAAGCCGGATTTTCCTGAAAATTCCGGCTTTGGGAATGATTTTCCGAGGGGCACATTTTCCGGAAAATTTCAAGAAAATTTTCCCAATACCCGGATAATTCCGGGGATGGGGGAGTTTTATCCGGGCTTGAGAAATGAAAATCAGGCGCATTTTCTGGAAATGTGAAGAAAAATTTTCTGTTACCGGGAAAATTCCGAGGATGAGATATTTTTCTGGGTTCGAGAGATGATGTAATAGGCATTTTCTGTACGAGAAAATTTTTCCATTACCTGGAAAATTCCGGGGATGAGAGATTTTTTGTTGCAGCTTTGAGAGTCGTCTCATTACCTGGAAATCTATCATTCCCGGAAGTACTCTGCACCAATTGTTCCGGCTAACGGGGATATCACTGTAGTTGTTTTAGCTACTGTACCTGTACATAGTTTAGGCTCTTGAAAAAACTTCCCCATCACCCAGAAACATTCTGGGAAGTGCGATAGTGTCTGCCCATGCAAGATGGATAGTTAAAACTTTAAAAAAAAACTTTCCCAAGTACTGTACTGTACCCATAAAAATTCCAGGTATGTGCAATTTTTTCCAGGGATGACAAGTTTGTCTCAATACCTGGAAGAGCTCTGCACCAATTATTCTGGCAAACGGGGATATCACTTGTATTAGAGAATCTGTTATACTGTATTACCTTTGGTTGATTTGTTGACTGGAACCTCAGGAATTTTAAATACACTTTCCTGCAAAGAGAATAATAAAGGTTATTCAACATGTTGAAAATAGAAATTAATTAATTAACCAAGATCACTTAATGGAATAAAATACAGCTAGACCCCGACTTACGACTGCTACGACTTACGACCGTCGGTACTTACGACCGCCGCAGATTTTTTATTTTTTTCAAATGACACACATTTTCTATACCGAAACGTTTCCAGTTAATGTAGTCTCCATGTATAATTAGAAAATGATGGGGGCCCCATGTGCATTCAGCTGACTACATTAAAGGTAAGTGCTCAGTCACACTGTAACCATTCCTCATTACTTTTACTGTACTGTAGATTTTTTATTAAAAAAAAAAAAAAAAAAAAATTATCTATGTCGGACTTACGACCATGTCGGACTTACGACCTGGATTTGGGTCCCTAACCCCGTCGTAAGTCGGGGTCTAGCTGTATAAGAAAAACTTTACTGAAACTATTTGGTCTCCAACATGGTCATTCTCCTTAGACTGTTAATTACAGCCCAACCCTATAATAATATCCCAGGTAATTCGGTAGACTATTTCCTACAGTTTTTACACCATTCTTAACCCTCTCAGCCTCGGAGCCTGAGACACATACGTGCATGAAAACTTACGCTCAGCCTCGGAGGTTTTTGCCGAAAAATCATTTTTTTTTTATGGCTCATTTCACTGCCATGGAATTGTTTTAGTAATTGTAATGGGGTGTCTTGTACCATAAAATTGTCTGAAAAATTGCATGGAACCATAAAAAAAGTAAAATTCTTGAAATTGGAGTCACGTTTTTTAGTATAAGTTGAAAAAGTAAGAAATGTTTAGTAACATCTCGATTTCCATTCACATTCTGCTTGTACAGGGGCCCCCCCAAGTTTGCGGATTTTTATTTTGTGGTCCTCTATTATTCGCAGATGACACCCTGGATGTACCCAAGAATGTCTGTGGTTTTAATGTTGCAGGCATTTTTGTGGCTGGGACAGGGATCCATTTATTCTAGAGACAGTAATTTCCTTTACCTGTACAGGTGCTCCTCTACTTAAGAGCATTCAACTTACAAACTTTCAGAGATACCAACATCATCACTGAAGGGGGTTACCTGCCAGAACAGGTGTTTAATGTGGATGAGACTGGAATATTTTGAAGAAAATTACAGATAGAACAAACATTACCTAAGAGGAGAAGAGTGAGCCAGGTTTTAAGGCTGTATTAAAGGGTATAGCTGAATTAAATATCCATAATCTTTTCATTTTTACAATATGTTTGGTATCTACAAGAGTAAAGTTGGACTAACAAACACGCCTCAGGAACGTAACTCGTTCGTAAATAGAGGAGCACCTGTATTGTAAATATGTGTGTGTATGTGTAGACACACACACACAAAACATGCAAATAAATAATAATAGGAAAATACTCTCACGAATAATCAGAAACAAATTTAATAAAAATGTGACAGTCTACCCTCAAGTTCGTGCTTTATTAATAAAGTAATAAAGCACAGACTTGAGGGTAGACTGTCACATTTTTAATAAATTTGTTTCTGATTATTTGTGAGAATATTTTCCTATTATTATTTATTTGTATGTGTTTTGTGTGTGTGTGTGTGTGTGTCTACACACACACACACACACATATACAATACATGTAAAAGAAATAATTGTCCTAAGGACAAACACATAAGGGGAATATACATTTCTTTGTACACAAGTAAAAACGTAACCACCACCACCACCACCACCCCCCCCCCCAAATGTTATTAAAGGATTTGGCGATTTGGAGAACCTAACCCCCGCGAATTTGGGGGGACCCCTGTATTATGGTGTTCATTAATATGTACTACAGGTTGTACCTCTCTAGTCTGGCATTCTGTGGTCCGGAAACTCCCGTGGTTTGGCACGATTTTAGTTTGTCCAAAAGGTAGATAGGCAGCTTTTTTTTTCTGCATTATTATTATTATTACAGGAGTATTAAATTTTTGCCCCTCAGGCCCCAATGTGGGTCAGTGACCTATGCCCGGGTGGGCTAATCCCCATAAAAAACAAAACAAAAACAAAGCCGCAGGAAATTAAGGTTTGTTTACATCCGGCAGTTCGGCTGCTCTCTCTCTCTCTCTGCTTGTCTATACAGAGTACAACATTTAACCATTCAATATATATGAGCAGTAAATAAGTGTTGCTTTCATATTCTTATGTAGAGTAATGACGATATGTTTTCACATGTGCGCACTTACATACGCGCAGTCTCACTTTTTTTTCTTTACCATTAATGATTAGCTACTTATATTGTTCCATTTATTACATTAAATAACATTACTTCAAACAAGCATATTAATTTTTTTACATTAATTTTACTACAGCTACAATCAGGGTCTTATTTTCTTCAGTTTTATATGTAGAACCAATCAGTCACTGGTTTTGTAAGCATTAACGAAAACAATGCCGGCAGCCGTCTTGTCTCCTCGTGTTAATATTCCATGTATTATTAATGAATTGTATTGTTCATTTTGCACACACAAACATTAATTCAATAAAAAAAATTCAGAAACATTAATTAAAATATATATGAACGGTAATTTAGTGTTGCTTTCATATTCTTATATAGAGTACTGACGATATGTTTTCACATGTGCTCACTTACATTCGCGATCTCTCTTTTTTTCTTTACCATTATCGCTAGCTACTTCTATTGTTCCATTTATTAACATTAAATAACATTACTTAAAACAACCATATTAATTTTACTACAGCTACAACCAGGGTCTTATTTTCTTCAGTTTTATATGTAGAACCAGTCAGTCACTGGTTTTGTAATCAACGAGAAAAATGCTGTCTCATTTCCTTGTGTGTTTTAATATTCTACGTATTATTAATGAATTGTATTGCTCATTTTGCACACATAAACATTAATTCAATCAAAAAGACATTCAGTAATAAACAATAATGAAACTTTTGTACATAAGAGAAATGACGCTGTTTACATGATTGTGCACGTCGTCTGAACGTTGGTGGGCAGTTCAAACACGTCGAAATTCGAGTTTCAAACCGTCAAAATTTTAAATTGTTTTGTTTTTTGTGTGTTCAAATAAAAAATGTTGAATTAAAAACTCGCGAAATTTGAGAAGCTACTGTACGACATTTAACCCTTCAATTTGTCTTCAAAGAGACCATAAAGCAGAGAAAGTGGTGCTAGTGCTTCCAAGCATAAGCACAAGTCACTATCTATCCAGGAAAAGGGTGAATTTCCATGGTCCGGCACCGGTCAAGTCCCGAGGTTGCCGGACTAGAGAGGTACAACCTGTATATACCAAAATAAAGAACAAAGCATGTAGAATATCGTGGTATAAGGAAAAATAATATAACACAAAAACTCACGGAATAATTTAAAGGGCCGAGCGGCGCACCCTCCCCTCACTCTAATGGCCAGAGCGACACTGGCTTCATGCTGGGCTGCCACGTACACGATGACCAAGACCGTCTCGGGGAAGGTGATATGGCCCACACAAAGAAAACAACGTCTGTCATATGACATCCAAAGTTCAGTCAGTTTCACTGAATAGTTTTTGAGTTATTTGAAAATATAGCCCATTGGACGTGGCGTCGAGAGGCTGAGCACAAGTTTTTTCGCCTTTTATGTTTGACGTCCAGTGTTAGCACAGGGAAAAACTGGAGTACCCGAAGGAAACTGGTGATGTTTGGTAGAGTCACACTCACATCCTTCCCCAAGTGTTTGGGTTGCAAGGAGAGATTTGTATTTTCTGATTATTGTCAGGTCAAAGGTCAGTCTGGGTTGCAACAACAAGCTATATATCAATCTTACCTTAGAATATTTATCACTGCTTTTTTCTTTGTTTGGCTTATTCCTTTCTCTTCTATTTGCTTTCTCTCTCTGTTTTTTCCCTTGGTTCATCTCAACTTCAGCTTGTTTCTCTGCTTCTAGTTTAGCAGCATCTTCAGCCCTCTTTTTATTTACAATAGCCATCCTGTAGGATTAAATCAAACTGTAGAACTGTAAAGGGAAAATAACTCATTTCAAATTACACTAGACTGTCAACCCACAACACCCATGAGTTCAATCCCAAGGCCAGGCAGTGGTGATCTACATGAAGCAGGCTACACACCACATTAATGTTTTAAGCTTATACTGATCACTTTGGGGTTGCCAACCTAAAAATTATGGTATGCATACTAAAGAATATCTGAGAATTTGTAGGAAATGGATGAAGAAGGATGAAAAAGGAGTTTACAATACATGAATGAGGTGAAGGGAAAAGCGGGAATATAGGAATGAAAGATTGAAATGAAAGGGAAGAGGGGGAAAGAAAGAAGGAAGATGTGAAGGCGAGAGTGAGAGGATGGTATAAGCACATGGTACAGATAGAGAAACATGAGAGGGACTGCAACTGTAATCCCAGGGTGGTTCAAGGACACAGATGCATAGAGGAGTCAGCACATGAGACCTCAGTGGGCAATGGGAAGTGACAACACAATAAACCTCAAAACACCAACATTCTTACGCTGTTGTTACTACTGTATTACTGAACCAACCCACCCACACATCCACACAAAGTCTTAACATCTCATATATTAAATTACTTCAACCCACCTGTCTTCGTATCTCTTATTGAAATCCTCCATTGACTCCAGTGTTCCAGTTTCTTGTTCAAAGCGAGCATAAGCTGAGCCTATTTCTTCTATCCAATCCCAGACACGTTCCAGGGCACGGCGGAAAAGTTTACGGCAGTGTTTCTCTGTGCCATAACTCCTGAAGAATATAGAGATATGCCTTGGTGATGGGTTACAGTATTCATTTCAACATGTACCACTTAAATTCAGAGGTCACAAATTGATTACAATAATAATTGTTATTTTTTAACTGCATACAGTGGTCCCTCGGTTAACGAACGCCTCGGTTAACGAAATTTCGGTTAACGAACTGCCTCCCATAAGATTCTTAAATTCGGTAAACGAACAAAAATTCGGTTAACGAATTTCTTACGAACCGACCTCAACATGTTTTCGCTTGCACTGGCCGGTCAACCAGCTTTAGCATTAGTCTGCCAATACATTAATCGGTTCTAGGGCTTAAATTCCTTACTATTTTAGTAAATATCAAGAAGTTTATACTATTCAATAATTTTAAAAGTTTAATATTCAATTTTTTAGTCAATTTAACAATTATTGAACATAATTGAAGGTAAAGTGACTAGTTTAATGCGCGGCATCCAGCCTCTTAACACAGCAAACAGGCGTTAGTCTCTCTCTGTTTTCACTGGAGGTAACATCTTGCTTGAGACTCTCTTCAACTAAACGCTTTTTTTCTGTGTTTCCAAGCAAATTATTGGTCATTTTGAAATATATTTTACATATTGACAATATATAATGCAGTGCAGTGTTGATTTAAAGAAAATAATCTTGAAATACACCAAGAGAACTAAAATTTTATGGGTGAAATGGTGCCATGGGGTGACTTCTCTTCCACCCCAATGCCTTTCTTCTTCCTTCTCCTCCACCCCCATTCTAATTCCCATCATCATCATCATCATCCAGGAGCCTTCTACATACACACCTCAAAGTAAGTGAACTTTTCTACCATTTTTGTTGAATTTAGGCAATTTTCAGTGAGCTGGAACCAATTACCCAAAAACCCATTGAAACAATGGTTTCGGTTAACGAATTTTTCGGTTAACGAACAACCTGCTGGAACGGATTGTGTTCGTTAACCGAGGGACCACTGTATTATTTTCACACATAGGCAAATTTTTCCTAAAAGATGGGAATGTTATCCAACCATAAAATACAAGTGTTGTACATGTGCACACAGACACAAGAATAGAATGACACATTCATTTAGGCATGTACACATTCAAAGTTGAAAACAGACACATGTAAATAAATCCCAAAACTGGTTATTTGTATATTTATTACGTCTTTTCACTCTCTTTCAAGACCCTTAGAAACTTAATGGAGGTGTGGCTGGAACTAAGAACAAACAAACAAGTGAATTCTTCAATCATTTACTCACTCCTAAAGCACTCCCTTATCACAAAAAATATATCAAATATCAACCTGGATAACTTCTGTTTTAATATACATCAACAGTTGTTCCTCACCCACATATCATTCAATGCCATACTCTCCACCACTGCTTCTAACATATAGTACAGTACTGCTTCTTTTTGATGTCCAAGCTTCTCAATTCTCGTGTCACTCGCCCAAATCCTTCCATCTCCTTAAGTCTTCCTCTCTCCCTCCTATCATTCCCCTTTATACGCTTTCTTTACCAATCTTTCACTTCCCATTTACTGTACTTAATTTGTTCAAATCTTCAGGCAAACCCTAATCTGCTCTCCACTTGACAGTTCTTTCACTTCCCCATCTCAGTGTTCCTGTATTTATTAATCTCTACAGCCTACTTAGTGCTCTCAAGCATGTCAATTTTAATTAGTTCAAATCACTTCTAGTCAGTTCATGTAATTTTTAATTAGCTTATATCACTTCCTATAAATTCACATCTCTCTTAATTAGCTCACACCATCTCTAATTAGCTCATTACTTCTAAATAATTCATGTCACTTTTAATTAGCTCCTTCCTTTTGCATACCTCTCTAAATTGATGAACTCCAGCCAAAGACTTGCATTCTTGAAGTTGTTGTTTCGCTTCATAATAATGTCATTCCAGATTTCTCTTGCTCTTTCTTGATTATGAGCACATTCAGCTTCTATCCGAGCCAAGAAACGAGGTACGATACTCTCCAGGTCTCCGTCTTCACCAAAATCTAAATAAAAAAATACTATCATAAGTCTTAGTTCACATTAACTCATGAACTCTTTGTAGAAATGAATATTATTATGGTAAAGATCAGTCCTTGTGAAAGAGTTCAGAGTAAGCAGGGTTTTAAATATGAACTGACCATCCTGTACAAAATGCCTAGTTCAAGCGTTGTCTGTCTGAGAAGGTTCAAATTTTTTCTAATTAATAAGCTTCATTTGACTGATCATATAAAATGTATTGCTCCTAGTTGAGGTCATCTTTAAACACATCTAAAATCACTACATTTGCAGCAGCCTGTCTCATATTTAATGATTTACAGGAGGTCCCCAACATACGAACATTCGATTTACGAATGCCCGCCGATAAGAACGGGGTTAATCTTGAAATTTACAGTATTTTATTTATTTGATGACTTATTTTTTTACTTCCATTTACTGTATTTTGTCATTCTATTTCTTCCTTTGTCTTAAATTAAGTGATGTTAGATATATATACAAGGACTTAGGCTATGATATAAAGGGATTTTAAACATAAATTTCCTGTCAGCAATTAAGGACACCAGATACATTGTTACTATACCCCTGAATCAGTTCTGCCTAATCCCTGTTATTGATTTTACCCATGTATTCTTATCAATTTTTAAAATCCTACTTCTCCATAACTTCTTGCTAGATTATGTTGAAACTTATGTGGAATATTGATAATTTTCTCTTCTTGAACATGAAATATAGATATTTCTGATTATCGTTTTCATATTGGGTGGATGAATTTTTTTCCTAACTTACCATTTTTTTTCCAAATATTTATAAATATAAATCAGTAAATAATAAACCAAGCCAAATATAAAGAAAATCTATATGTTACACCAAGCACATTATGTTAGTCTACTACTTAGTTTTTGTTTTATTAGAATCGGCCCAAAAATGGATGAGCCTTAGGGATTTGAAGGTAAGAAAAATTTTTTAGGAGATACAGGTTGATAAAGGTGGCGTGAGAGCAACTCACGATTGTACCTCACTCTCGTATGTTTCATGGGTCACTGACTCTTGTGACAACGGTCTCCCATGGTTAGCTTGCTGAGAACGGTGCCAGATACTGATTTTTACCAAGTGATTGGTATTACTTTACACCAAAATATTATTATAAATACTGTACTTTTCTAAAGCTTTTCCTATGTGAACAGAACAGCCCTCTAAATGAAGGGAGGGTAGAACAATCATGCACAGCTACATAAATATTAAGAATTATGCAATAAAAATAAGTCAGCATATAGCCTAAGCAACAGCTTTCCTCAAGAATTTTTCTGAATATTTTCATAATTTTCCGATTTTCATTGTATTTTCAGCCGGACGCTACCCTTAAGCTGTTTCCTGAACCTATTATTTATCTGTCTGATAATATAAAGAATTAACACTTCTTTAAGCATTTCATCACTCATTTATTAATGATTTATACTAAAAAGCCACAGACTCCTTGATCCCCAGCCTTTTTATATACAGTACTGTAGAGTACAGGAGTGCTTCGATTTACGGAATCATTTTACGAAAATTCGCTATTACTGTAAAAAAGAAAAGAAAAAAAGTTTCAGTGCTTTATTATACAAACAAAAACCCAGCTTATACGAAAAAATTTTGGTGTTTTTTCGGAGCATTAGAACACGTTGAGTTGCTGACACAGGCATCTGAGAGCATTCCGTGCTGAAAACGGATACTAAGCAGTATGCTGTAGTGCAGACTATTAAGAAGCAACATGTTTTAATTGAATCTGTTTACATTATTGGTGGCATGTTGCCAAGTTAGACTCATCACTGTAGTCTCATCTTCTTAGCCCCTTCCCTACTAGTCTGAGCTGTGAGCCATGTTATGGTTATTTTTCAAATCATAACTTTGGGTAGATATAAGTAATTTTTTCATTTAATTTTTTTACTCTCTTACATGCACACACAATCTTTCATACAGAATGTGCAAAAAATAAAATAAAAATCATCGTAAGGTCGAAAACATAAACAAAGTAAACATTTCTTGCATGTGAAGAGTCAGCACACAGATATGGGGAGGGGAAGTGGCATGGGGGATCACAGCTGTTTGCTGTCCCATGTTCCTTGTGTTGTGAAACAATTGCCAAATGGCAATGTGGTATTTTTTCTTTTATTTTATTTATTTGTATTATTTTTATTTGTTCCACACATTTACTGTTGAATAGGGGTACAATAATACAGTAAAAGAAAGAAAGTGTTTATCCTATCCTTATCAAATGTGTCACTATGAAAACCAAGCTGAACAGCAACTGTTTACGGAGTGCATCACTAGAGTCAGGTCAGAAGCCCGTTAAGATCTGTATGCATTTGTGGAGTTTTATTTTTAATGTTATACATTTTTATAATACAGGGTATAATTTATATATCATTTATATGTCAAATGAAGGTGCTACTGTAGCTTTATTTACAAGCATGGGTAACCGATCACCAAATAAGAGGTAGACATATATAACTGATCATCCTATGCACCAACCTCCTACAGTTACCCGTAAGTAGAATACCTAATGTTTATTCTAATATGGATTAAATAAACTCAATGCCATACTGTATTGCATTATTAATGCTTGTAAGTATTGTTTCACACAACCACATAAAAAAAAAAGCTTAAAATGTGTATTTTTATGTTTTTGGGACTTTTTTTCTGTAGGAACATATCTTCCTTTATATAATGGGAGTCAATGTTAAATATTGCTTTGATTTATGTAAGGTTTTCCAGGAAAATATCCCTTTCATAAATCGAAGCACACCTGTACTGTACAGTACTCTCTGTGTCATCTACCCAAACACTTAATAAAAACTTAGAAATAGTAAACTTGGACATTATTTACACTTATCAATCATGCTTATAGCCTGTTGTCCTGCTTCTCTGAGAGCATGAAGCTCTGCATCATGGGACTGGTCCCACTTGATTTGTCTGCGCAAATATATAAGGTATGCCATCCACATGCGAGTAGCTTCACCACCAGACTGAAGACCACATCCAAGACCTTTCTCCAAGGCACCTGAGTAGTAAAAAGGAAAAAGAAAAAAAGAAACTGTATTAGTAACATTTGCTTAGAAAGCAAGAATCATTCCTGAAATCCCACCACGACCTCATCTGCAAATTTAGTGAGAAGTTTCTGCACCATCCTCGACACCGGCTCCTACTACCTACCGTATATCTCGGCCTACAAGACGGAATTTGAACAAAAAAAAAATCAGCCCAAAGTTAGGGGGTCGTCTTAAGCACCAGAGATAAAATTCTTACCTCTTAAATTTTGCGGTTTAGCGTGTCAAGAGTGGTGATGGAAACATGGTAAACCACTCACAAGGTCCTACCACTAATTATTTTATACTGAAACTTACATTTGGGAAGCTGGATTAAAATGAAGATTACCGGTATATTAAAATAATAAAAATGTATTATAAACCAGTCTAACATACCGTAAAAGAACAATATACCCCGGTAATAAACACAGCTGCTATCATCACCCCCCCCCCCCATTTGCCAGTGACGAGAAAGGGAAAGCGACCTTGACAGTGACCGCCTGTGGCTATTTTTAGCCGTCCTTGTGTTCGGAGGTGGTCAGTAATGCATATCTGTATATTTACTGATCATAATACTTATCTCCTATAAATAATTAATTTAAAATTAATTTTTTTACAAAGAATATTCAGTAAATGACTGCGTTAATTCTTGAAACTACCGACAGTGGTAAATTTAGGATGAGAATGATTAACAGAAGTCACGTCATGGATTCGGAGTTTGGTCCTTAATGATCATAAATGTCTGGTCAACTTCACCTACCAGGTATAATGGTAGCCTCCCTTTTTCGCGAAACAAGTATATAATTAAAGAAAATACTTGCAGTGTGTTTAATGTATTACAATATATTATAGCTAAATAAATAAACAAATAAATCGGCAAATCTATTTCAAGTAAATGGAAATATTTTACTCACACCAACATTAGTTCCAGTTAAATAACTGACGCTTAAGTGAGTCACTAGTGTACAACAGCGGGTAAAATTTGATGCCAATACTTGAAGTGAATTGGCATTATTTTAAATAACCAACCATAAATAAATGGAAAAAAGATCAAAGGTGAAACATTATATTGTATGTATGTTGTGTTGTCAAAGGAAGAGAAACAATTGAAACTCAGCAATTGTGTGTAAATGAGGCAGTAAGATAAATCAGCAACCTAAGACTTGGTCACAATTTTCGTGATGCCATATGGAAGTAGGGTCTACCATTAGACAATACTGTACATTATGCTTCCAATATCTTCCCAGGCAGTAGAATCTCCCTGTTTGGTAGCTGCCTAAAACTTTTAGTAATATTACTTTGATACAACATGATAAATTTGACAAACAATGAAAATAAACAAACAAAAGTTATTTACCAAGACCTTCTCTCTCAGAACAGAGGGGAGATAAGACGGCTATTTATAGCCCGTCTTTGTGTAGGAAGTCGACCACACTAGAAATAATTCATTTAAAATTTATATTTTTTACATAGAATATTCAGTACATGACTGCAATTATAAAATATTGTGAATATATATATATATATATATATATATATATATATATATATATATATATATATATATATATATATATATATATATATATATATATATATATATATATATATATATATATATATATATATATATATATATATATATATATATATATATATATATATATATATATATATATATATATATATATATATATATATATATATATATATATATATATATATATATATATATATATATATATATATATATATATATATATATATATATATATATATATATATATATATATATATATATATATATATATATATATATAAATATTTGTGTAATAAATGTATGTAGTAAGTATGTACAGTAATCTTTTTCACTCAAATCCTAATGAAACACTATTGAATTAGAATACTGTAGCTCGCTGAAGCAAGCTTATAAATTAAAGAAAATACTTCCAGTGTGTTTAATATATTACAGTATGATATAAATAAACAAATAAATCGGTAAATCCATTTTAAGTAAATGAAACAATTGTATTCGACACCGACATTAGTTCAAGTTAAATAACAAACTTTTAAGTGAGTCACGTGTTTACACTACATCAACCGGTAACGTTTGATGCCATTACTTGAAGTGAATTGGCTTTATTTTAAAAAACCAAGGATGTGTAAACAGCACTGGTCAATGGGATGGTTGGTAAAGGACTACTGGGTCAGTAAGCTCCCAATGGTAAGTGTCACATTTGGGGTACCGGTCTTATACAGCGAATAGGGCTCAAAAGCTACTTTTTAAATGGAAATTTTGGGGGCCGTCTTATACACCCCGTCGCCTTGTAGGCCGAGATATACGGTACTACCACCTGAGATCCCTCGCCCGAGAATTGCTGTTCAACACCACAACCGCATCCAGCCCATATGAGCACAAACTGATCGCTATAAGAATAGTCCAGTCCCAACCATTGTAAAAATTATCAATAACTTGTAATCAACCAGTGTATTCGCTCCCAGTCAATCTTACTTTTTGCACTGTCACTATGTTGAAATGCCATGTAGTTTGAGCTTCTCCCCCACCTAGTTATTATATATCATATTTGTATCACTTATGTTGCTTGTATATTATTTGTAAATCAAGAGACCCATTCCCCAATTATGTAACTGTATATTTTCAGCCTTCCGGCTGCCATGCTCTTTCAATAAAACGTTAATTATTATTATTATTATTATATAACAAAGTCTTAAAAGAAATCAATTGTGAATAAGCCTGTTAAAGAGTGGGGGCTTATAACTCAGAGAAGTGCTGAACTACAACAGCTGTGGCTCACCTGATGACTGAGCTATTTCCTCCATGACAGCCTTATCCCTTAAAAATGGGCCTGAAGAGCCATAATTGCCCATGAAGGCTGGGAGCTGAAGGATTGAGTTTGAACAGCATTCTTCAGATTAATGAAAGGTAACTGAAGGGCTCCCTTCACATTTGGACTTTCCTGCTACCCATTTGGCATATTTTCCATCAGTGTTCACATTTTCAAGTTCATTTAATACTTTAAAAAGTAATCTAATGTTTAATGGTCTAAGTATACAGTTCCATAAAATGTGTTTTAAAAGTTCTGTACATTCACACAAATTTTGGGGTAATAAAACAATCCTCCTAATTACTGTACACAGTGAAAGAATGAAGTATCTACCCAGGGTTTTGAAGAATACATTGCAGAATAGTTGAACCATTCAACTTACGCATGTGTGGAGCCCATAAACAGTTAGCAGGCCTGTGGAACCTCGGAAAGGGGTTGTCAGTGACATCATTCACTGTGTTGGGTAGTCAGGTTTCATTATACTTTGGCCAAAGTTTGGAAGATACTTAATTTTCTCACTGTATAGGACATGGACTTCTAAGGGAAAAATTCTTTGAGCCTAGAGCATCTTCATCAAAGATGTTATTTCTCAGGAACACATTAGCCGATCTAAACCAATACATTCTGAGCATTTCTGTTGGTATGAAGATGATTAATGACAAAAATCCCGAGCAATTGTTGTCAAGCAGCTGTTTCAATAGCAGAAATAATAGGTTTTACATATACAACCTCTGTCTAATACTGTCAATCAGTCAGTCAAATATAAATGAGATGCACATTTTCACCTTTTATTTTTGATGCAACAGAGTTTTCTTCTCCCTGAGTGGCAAACATTTGTAGAGCTGTGATGTGGAACTCACACAGTGTTGCAGACCATGGACAGTTTCTTTGGCTGCGCTCACAAACTGGTAAAACAACATAATCTAACCAGGGAAACTGATGCATGACAAAACGGACATACTCCTCCCACAAACCTACGAAAAAATGGATAAATACACATTAACACATCTGTTGATAACAAGTCAGGGAATTATGCAAAATATCGTATATTAAGTTCAAAGGAAAATATACAGTAGCATATTAGGATAAATCACAAAGAGTGATTACTTGACACATGTAATTTTTCTTACCAACATCAAGACAGTGCTCAGTGACAGCTCTCTCATATAAACTCTGTACAGCTGCTGGGTTGTCTGTTTCTTTTATATGGTTGATGTAACGTCGATATGCAGCCAGCTTATCAACGTCATTTGCAACAGTAAGCTAAATACAATACATAATTAGTACTAAGAAACATATTAACAAAGGGCCTAAAAAAATAAATCTCCCAACAAATATTTCTAACAGATAATTTTTTTTAGAAACAAACTAAAAATTAAGAATGATTTAACTCCTTCAGCAGTGACAGTACAGATCTAGAATTAATCTTTTTCTACAATATACATCTAAGAACCTAACCCAGCCCAACCCCACCCATACAGAATATTTGACTTTATATTCTTCATCAAGTGTTTTTTAATCAAATATTTTCCATGTTTACTTATCAAGAGAGATTTGAAGAATTTTTGGGTAATACTCCCTGATCTGGCAAATTCATGTTTCAGACATCTGTTTTTCTGCAAATCCATGCAGTTTACTGACCGTTACCCAATTACCGTGTTTATCGCTCATCCATTTGCAACTGCCAAAAAACATTACAATAATTGTTCTGAAATTTAAAGAAAATTATTGTAATCACCATGACAGCTTAAAAAATTTAATATTCAAGTATGAGTATACATATACAGTAAACATGTACTTACCTTATAACACTCAGGACATTAGAGTCTAGCTTCTTAAAACCATTTTCTTTAATACAGAGCAATACAGAAATAAAGAAAATACAGTGATATCCTCATTATCCGGAACAATTGGTGCAGAGCACTTCCGGTAGTGAGAGATTTCCGGGTAACGAGATGACTCTCTAAAAGCAGGAAAAACTTCCCCATCCCCGGAATTTTTCGGGTATCGGGAAAAATTTCTCGGAATTTTCCAGAAAATTTCAATTCCGGCTATCGGAGAATTCTGGGTTTGAGGGATTCTGGCTAACGTAGATATTACTGTATAATATAAAACTAAAATAACAAAAATAAAGAGCATCAGTGGGTGTGTGTGTGTGTGTGTGTGTGTGTGTGGAGGTGGTGAGCTGTACTGCTTCACCAACTCACCCACGTCTCTCCTCTGATGTGATGTCATGGTGCACACACACACACCACTGCAGTGTTTACATATACCGCGGGTACTGTCTCGGCGACCCCAAGTGCCGGAGACAATGACTCGCAGTGTTTACTACTAGACAAATATTAACGGATGTCTACCATTGTCAGTGGCCCCCAGAGTGCCGCCAGCGAGTTTATGGCCACTGTGGACAAACACTTCCGTCCAACATCAGGTCACAAGAATGTTTACAAGTCCAGCTCAAACATTACCAGATCTATAGATAATCTATATGTTGACTCTTCGTTTCTTATTTTTTTTTTTTTGAAAGCTTCTGTCAATCCAGTGACCCACTCCCCGCTTCCACCAAATGTAACCTATCACCTCTGTTCATTGTATATTTTCAGTCTTCGGGCTGCCATGTTATCTCAATAAACCCTCACACACTTCCTTCAGCCTTCATAGGATAAGGACGTGTGTAGTCGGCGCTGCCCGCTAATGCGGCCGTGGTCTCTTGACCAAGGAGATAGCTGCCAGCCTGGTCTGCCAGGCCTTCTCCTTCCCATCTGGATTTATCAACATCCTCACACCAACAGTACAATTGTGCTTAACGGTCAGTGTTGACCTGACCCTTGACATGACACACCCAGCCTGAGGTACACTCGCCACCACCAGTGCTAGATGAGAACCCAAGAAACACTCCAGACTACACCAGGAGAGAAGTGAGGACTCCCTACTCCACCCAGGTGAGGAACTATGAATTCCTACATACATCACATGAGGAACAAGAACCATCTCCAACACACTTTGTGTGAGCTAGAGAACCTACCCGGACCACGTGGTGCATCTGCAGCTGTAGTGAGGTCACGGCTTAACAGCCAGGTTTGGCACCGACATCAGGTCACAAGAATGTCTACAAGACCAGCTTCCACAGTACCAGATCTACAGTATATGTTGACTCAATGTTTCTTATGTTTTTGTATTGAAAGCTTTTGTCAATCAAGTGACCCACTCCCCGATTCCACCATATGTAACTTATCATCTCTGTTCATTGTATAAGTTTCAGCACGCACGCACGCATGCTGAAAAAAAAACTTTCGGTTTTCAGAGCTTTTCGGTTTTCGGAATTTCGGATAAAGGGTTATCAACCTGTATTACAATGATATTCTATTCATACTGTGCTTGATATTATACATTCACGGAAATGTTATATTTTTGCTGAAATGACATACGTATTACAGTGGAAAGTGGGATAAAATCATGACGAAAACAATTTTTTTTTTTTTTTTATTTATTGGGCACCCCCCTACATCCTTGTGTGAGGTGAAGCGCAGAAGCGTTTACAGCGCCCAACAGGGAAGCCTGCTAAGTTCATGCTTGCCTTATGTCTCATGAGTTAAGGGCGTAGAAGCCTGAAGAGTCAATGGTTTATGTCTGAGCAAGTTATTGGAAGTTCCAACAACTTGTCCCTGAATACGAATTTGCAACTTTCGACTTACAGCAGGTACCTACTTTGCTGCTCGGTGAACAGGGACCGAGGGGACTAGGAAGAGTGTCCAAACAACTTCCACCGGCCCGGGAATCGAACCCGTGACATCTTGCTTGCGAGGCAAGAACGATACCGCTCTACCACCAGCTCCCCCCGACGAAAACAATGACTTTCGCTTTATTTCGTTGTTCAAAAGATGTTACCATAATCGCTTTTCGAATGGTTTTCAGTTAAAAAAAACTGTTGTATTACAATAATATTCTATCTTAATTGACTAGAATAAATACTACAATACCATATTTCTGAATATTTTCATCAAAATCCATCAAAATCATTTTCCTTGTCAACGTCTTCAGCACCAAACAGCTCCTCCCAATCTTCTCCTTGAACAGGGCTAGAGGGTACATGTTTTTCGAATCGTTTTCAGTTAAAAAACTGTTACATCACACATATATTTTACCTAAACTACGCCTGAATGAATATAGTCTCAGAAATAAATACTGTACAGTTGTACCCCACTTAACGCGGTCAATTGAACCCAGAGGGTCCCGCGTTAAGTGAAATCCGCGTTAAGTGAACAACAGAACATATGGGATTAATTCCAATAGAAACCGGCCCGACCCCCAAACTCCACTTTTTGAAGGCACATACCTATGTTGTAGTAAAAATAACATCTTAATTTTATGATGGTACATGCACACAATTAATACTTAAGAGAAATAGAGAAATACAGTCGCCAAGTTAATGTCCATTCAAATAATGGACTCAACTCCCTCCCCCTCTCACACTACACAGCCGGCTAACAGATGGTCGGTCGGTCCCTCCCTCCCCCCCCCACCCCCCACCAACCGTCCCAAGGAGATGTGTGGGATAACCTCAAACTAAAGTTAGGAAAATATAATTGACATTGCTGGATTCCTTGTAAGACCAGGAATATTTTGAATATAAATGTCATATATTTTGCACAAAAGATAACATAGTTACCTAGAGAAAAATTTTTATCTAAAAATTGTAAGTTTAAAGCAAAATATATGATGTTTATATTCAAAATGATCACCAAATTATAAGAATTCCAGCAATGTAAATTATATTCTGACCGGGTAATTTGTATGAATTTTATGAGCTAAAACAAATATCTTCAGTTAATAAAAAAAAAATAATCTTCACGACACTATCTGTCAATCAAAGTACCCCACCTTGCCTCCCCCCCTCTTCCAACCGCGCGGTCAGTCCCAACCCTCCCCCCCACCCCCCACCAATCCTCCCTTCCAGGGTTTTTAACATTTAGTATTAAATAATACCTCAGATTAAAGTTAGGATAATATAATTGACATTGCTGGATTCCTTGTAAGACCAGGAATATTTTGAATATAAATGTCATATATTTTGCACAAAAGATACCATAGTTACCTAGAGAAAAATTTTTATCTAAAAATTGTAAGTTTAAAGCAAAATATATGATGTTTATATTCAAAATGATCACCAAATTATAAGAATTCCAGCAATGTAAATTATATTCTGACCGGGTAATTTGTATGAATTTTATGAGCTAAAACAAATATCTTCAGTTAATAAAAAAAAATAATAATTCTTCACACGGTAACAGATGGTCGGTTGGTCCCTCCCTCCCCCCCACCCCCCACCAACCGTCCCAAGGAGATGTGTGGGATAACCACTAAATTTTAATAAATAATACCTCAAACTAAAGTTAGGATAATATAATTGACATTGCTGGATTCCTTGTAAGACCAGGAATATTTTGAATATAAATGTCATATATTTTGCACAAAAGATACCATAGTTACCTAGAGAAAAATTTTTATCTAAAAATTGTAAGTTTAAAGCAAAATATATGATGTTTATATTCAAAATGATCACCAAATTATAAGAATTCCAGCAATGTAAATTATATTCTGGCCTGGTAATTTGTATGAATTTTATGAGCTAAAACAGGCAGTCAGGCAGGGTGGCGGGTGGGGCAAATCTAAAAATAGCGTCTCGGACACTCACCGCGTATATGTGGAAAAAATCCGCGTTAAGTGAAAGTTCAGCTTTGGCAAGGCACCGCGTATATGCGAAAACGCGTTAAGTGAAACCGCGTTAGGCGGGGTAAAACTGTAGTAGTTTTGCTGAAACGTGATGTATTTCAATGTAAAATATGATAAAATACATGACAAAAACAAAAGACTTTACCTAACCTTCCGATGTTTTTTTAATAGTTTTCGGTTAAAATACTGTTATATTACAATGATATTCTATTCATACTGTGATTGATATAATACATTCACGGAAATGTAATATTTTTGCTGAAATGACGTACGTATTACAGTGGAAAGTGGGATAAAACCTTGATGAAAACAATCGACTTTCGCTTTCTTTCGTTGTTCAATAGATGTTACCGTAATCACTTTTCGAATGGTTTTCAGTTAAAAAAACTGTTGTATTACAATAATATTCCCTCCTAATTCACTTGAATATATACTTGAATGGAAATATACAATATTTTTGCTGAAACTACCCGCGTTTCAGTGTAAAGTGTCGTAATAATGGTAAACAATTTGCCTTCGGCGCTTGGTGT